CATCACACTCCAGACCAGGTCGTCGAATGGAATCCAAAGGGGAAACGACGAGTTGGGCGCCCGAGGCGAGGGTGACGTGGAAGAGATCATGTAAGGAAGAAGTGAAAGCTTGTGGGCAGTCGTGTAGCCAGGTTCAAAAGACTGCAGAGAAGAGAGTGCATTGGAGGCGTGCCACTGAAGCTCTATATTCCACTAGGAACTCATTGGAAAAATAATAATATGACCAATATACGTGAACCGGTAGACTCACATTGAGGTGACCAAATGTAGTATTCTGTCTTCAGCGCAATGACACACTATCTGTGGCAAAAGTTGGTTCTCAGACTATCCTCCTCAAAGATCTTGAGATGCAATTTCAGCTGAAGTGGCTACTTTGAATTCTAAATTCGTGGAAAGAGTTTTCGCTGAGACACTCGGTATCTTTTGTATTTGTGACTTTTCTCTCATTTCAAAGTTTAAAAATCAAGGTGGACAACCGTTTTCCATTAGAATTTTATATAGAAACCATAGCTATTTAGAGCGGATTTTCCGAATCCTTGAATATAACCAGAGTACAAAATTCTGTTTGCTAATGAGACGGACATAACTTTGGAAGCTGTTTAAGTATCTAATCCCTGTCGGTTTACTGTCTGCGGATAAAAAGATCCAATCTTCTTGTTACTAGCATATCCAAGAATGGGAATATCAAGTTTTCTTCATACTCTGGAGTGAATTTTATGCGTGGATATACAGTGTTAAAAGTGGTGAGGAGGTTCCGTATTACATTTCTTCATTTGATTTATAACACACAGTGATATAGTTTTATTTACTTGATGACCACGTTTCAAGCATAAACTGTTGCTCAGAGTCATACCAGTGTATCGTCGATGTGATTTTGAAATTAGAAAATAGTCACACAGTCAATAACGTCCGAAGTATAATATAAAAGTAGTCAGAGACCAGTAATTGAAGTTATTGAATCTTTAACCACCCATAAATTAAAACCACCTTTGTTTGTTTTTACTCACATTGAATCTAACTTGGTAGTTTGGATCTTAACCACCATACTTTGTTCTGTGCTTCACATTCTCCTGTTTCCCATCGACTAGACTGACATCTTTCGTAAATTTTCATAAAAATAATTCGATAAGTCAGTGTGTGATCAAATTTTTGTTCCATATATCACATGTTTCGGGTAGTATCCGTCTTCTGATTGCTTTTTTCAAATACCTTTCGTGAACTAGAAGAACTTATGGTACTGTTAAGGTTCATAAACCAGGTTATCCCATTAGACCCATAGTTGACTTCTCAAATACCCCAACATATGAACTAGCAAAGTAATTAGCATCGATATTACGTCCTATTAGGAACCGTTCAGATTCTAAACCAGCCAATTCCTACGAGTTGAAAGTAAAACCTAATGACCTATATATAGAAGAGGATAAGAAACTGGTTAGTGTCGATGTAACATGTCTGTACACTAAAATACCAATCAACATGGCACTGGAGGCAGTCAGAAATACTGACGTAGAACTTACTCAAAGAGCTAAGATGTCGTTTGGTGAAGTCATGTTAGAGAAACAGTTTCACCTGACCTCCACAGTCTTCAAGTTTCAGGATAAAATATACAGACAAACAGAAGAAGTAGCAATGGGATCGTCGGTACCCCTGATCGTAGCAGATATATTTATGAATAGTTAGCAAAATATGGCTTTACAAAAGTTTAGTTCTACACCAAAAATATGGTGGCGATATGTGGATGAAACACTTACTATGCTCAAATCCGAACATATCGACAATTTCCTTACACATATAAACTCAATAGCAGACGCAATCCAATTCACTTACAAGGTAGAAAATAAACAAGGAGAATTACCTATGTTGGATTGCAAAATAAAATGAAGGATTGACGGTGGTTTGGATACTATCGTTTACACAAAACCGACACATTCCAACAGGTATCTAGACTTCAAGTCATCCCGTCTAATGTTAGTTAAAGCAGGTTTAGTCAAATATCTAAATGATAAAGTTAGAAAACTAACTAGTCAATGCAAGGACCTAATAAAGGAATTGAAACATGTAAGAAACACTAATAGTCAATAATTATCCTCTACAGTTTATTAAAACATTCTTACGGACACACAAAGAAACGAAAAAATAACAGTCATACGAGTCCGACTAATAACGACAACACGAGTAAAAGGGAGTTCACAGCCTCCACTGTGTTACCCTATAAGGAAAGAATATCAGAAACTTCATATTAGATTTGTTTATTTGAAACTTCATGTAGTATCCTCAACGAGGCTGGAATAAGGGTGGTATTTAAACCTGCAAAGTAACTCAGAGATAAACTTTGTCGGCTTAAGGATCCGATAGAACTGATTAAGCAAAATAATATGATCTATCAAATATCATGTAATGACTGTGAGGTGAAGTATATAGGTCAAACTAGTCAGTTGGGGTCAGTTAGGATATCGGAATATAGGAATTTAGCTGAATATAGAATGAGAGACCCGAATAAAATCAATAATCTAGAAGAAACCTTGGCTACTGCAATGGATGCATTAACACACAACCACACAACATGGTGATATACTGCTACTGTACTTAATACAAATACAATAAGGTGGAGACACATTGATTACTGGATCTTGTTTTATCGGAACTACAGCCAACACAGGTATAATGGGAATGATTCAACATTTATACCGGAGATACAGAAAACTTTGCTACCAATAAAAACAAAGAACACGAGGTGAGTGACAGGACTTTCAAAATCCGATGTTGAAAGTGGTATGATTACATCGATATGATTATGAGCAATAATAACTGATGTTCGAAACGTAGTCGCCAAATGGATAATACTATATCACTGTGTCCTTTATATCAAATCTAACATGGAATCACATTCTATCATAGGGCTCAAACTTTACACTTATATTGATAACGAGTTGTACAAATCAAATCCTTCTCCGCATATGATAAAAAATGTCGTAAATGTATCTTTTTTAAAAGCATACTGAGCTGATTAGTTAACTATGGACATCATTTTTAAGAAATTTCATGAAGCAATCAACTAAGAGTGAACCAAGACGGGACCCCATAGCTACATCATTCTTTTACAAATACAACTTGAACTGTATGTTGAAGGTGCATCTGAGGAGGAGTTCTTTGAGCTAGTTGACAGGTATGATAACACTAAACGTTTGCGTTTCCACTACTTACATATAGCTGATGCTCTAACTCTATAAAATCGAAAGACTAAATGTGTATTCAGGAGCGTATTGTGAAATCTCTTTCTTTACCTAGGCCGTAAAAATCCATTTCTCAGTCAATTTTATTTCACTTTAATTCTCAGCACCATTGTCGTTTTGGCCTTTCATAGCACCAGTTAACCTTTAATCACCATCTGAGTTCAGTTCTTCTTTTCTGAGTAATTCCTTTTGCCAAATGAAACTAGGCACCACCACCAACAATAAGTCTGTTATGCACATATAGAGTGAGTAGTTTTTTAGGACAACTATCTGACCATTTTTGACTTATCGAGGTGACTAAGATGTGCGTGCTTCCTATTTGCGACTCGAATGTACCTGCAACCTAGTGAGTGATGTTGTTCTCACTGGGGCTCGAATCCAGTATCCTTCGCTTCAAAAGCCAGAGAGTTATCTACTGAGTCACTAAGGTTATCATGAGCACCCGTCCGCCAAAGGAGGTCGAGTAATTCAGGCCTGCATTGCAACAGGGAATTACAAGTATCATAACAACCTTGTATAAGGTGTATTTTTACTTCGGTAATCCCCTGGCGTAGTATATTAGAACAAATGATAGAATAAACAAATATTTTGTATTATTTCTCAACGTTTTGATCTTGCTAGGAAGATCGTTTCTAAGAGTATGAATCTGACATTAAGTTTTCAGGTTAATATTCAAGTTTTGGTACAGAAGGTGATGACTTTTACAATCATCCAATTACATCGTGATATGGAGGAAAGATCGATGTAATACAAATGAGTAAATTAACAGGTAACTCGATCAGAGCGACTTTTTTCAGTTGTGCGAGTAAGATGGAACAAAAATAGGGTGAGCAGCAAGATCGGAACGTTGAGGAATAAAACAAAATATTTGTTTATTTGTTATTTATTCTAATACACTACACCAGGATTACACAAGTAAAAATATACCTTATATAATGAATCATACTGACTCGACACCCGAGTTTTTTCTAACCATCCAGTCCATACCTTCAAACTTACTTCTAATATCATAACAACAAATATCTGATTGAATTTTGACGGAGTTGTGGGGATTTGGAAGGTGGCGGGTTCGACCCCTTGTGGGGTCGTGGGTGCGCACTGCTGAGGAGTCCCATATTTTGACGAAACAGCTGTCGAGTGCTCTCAGGTTTCCTTTATTCCTGTAATTAATGTCAGTCTACGATGAATAACAACTTGAAATATCTGATTATTTACTAACTATAAATCTGATTTTATAGCTTGATAATGTAGTCGTTGTAAAGTACCCTTTCTTAATTTATAAAAATCTTGCTCTTCTTTTCTATGAATCAGGGTGTACATTTAATCAGTTCCTAGGGACTTGAGATTTAATTAGTGGTAATGATTTGTGATTTCCGTCCCCAAAAGTAGGTGTATATCATTTTATGGTGTCTATTAACTGAGTTCTTACACGAGTCTACAAATTAAGTTTATACTGTAGCCACTTGACTCAATGACTTCACTGTATAGTGGAATATTTGTTGATGTTAAGCGTTGGAAGTAGATCGTTAGGAAGTCATACTTCATCTCGGCATTTTGCTTATCATCAGTTATGAGTAAGGTGTATCCACAATCTTAAACCAACTTATTCTACCTCAATGATTTGAGCTCATATCAATCAGTTCTGAGGTCAGGTCATGGAAATCAAACAAGGATTTTTGATAGTTAACATCTACAATACTAGATCTGAAGATATATCAAGAAATCTTAAAGCTATATTCTCTGTCAAGTGAACAATATGAAACTCACTAGATAACCTCTCCAATAAGATTGTAACTTTATAGCTGCCTGTTCATCTGACCATTGTAAACTAAGCGGTAAGGGTTTACGTGGGCGAATCTCCCATTCTTTTGAAACCCATGGTATATCTGATAAACTTTGTAGATCTTCACGATGATTTATATTATATAAATTATTCTTATATAAATAAAGTGTTAGAAAATCCAATCCGTTGAATCCAAAACGCTTTTTCTACAATTTAAACGAAAAAAGTGCACATTTGTTTAAACTAAGCCTTTAAACTAAAAATTAGAATTTAGCGCCATAAAGATGTTTAAATCTGAAAGAAAGTTATATACTTGACACGACTATTGAACGCATGACAAACATATCTGCATATCCAGCAGCTCCATTTTCATGCAAGATTTAAATTATCATAACCCTCTTAACGAATTGAGTTTTGCATGATATATTAACAACAAAAATTTTCAATAAAAGTAAAGAAAATCAGAAAATTGTTTGTTCTCAGAAACGTCTTCATTATCCTTCAACATCATCTGGAAAACTCTTGAAAACCTGCAACTCTGGTTTGGGATGCCTCAAGAGTGCACATCACTTACCATATCTGATATTGAAACCAGGATCTCCATGTCTCGTGATGACCACGTTGCCTGTCAGTTCACACTTTCCAACTTAAAATTCGTTTTATGGTCCGACTATTTCTCGCACTCGACTTACTGTCCTATACTCCCAGATTTTCAATAGTTCTCCAGTTGATTTCAGCCTTAGATGAAAAAACCTCCGAGTTCATTTCATTTCCCATATACCTTCAAACAGATTTGGATTTGGGATTTTAATCTTTCCAAAGTAAATAAATTTCAACATATCCATATGCAAATCATACCGACATAAAAGGGTATTGCTGATTTCAAAATGGTGTACATCAAAGATTGATATCAGTTGGTGAAATATTGAATACCTGGTACCGCTGGACAACTGTCTCACTCTAGTCTGAGACTCCTCAGCAGTGCATACCTACGATTCTATGATAGATCTAGCCTATATCTGTCACTGTGTCTAGCAAGCAGGTTACAGTTCAGCCAATAGGTTGAAACTCAATGGCCCACTATTTCCTACTTCCGTCAGTTGGAGATATGGTGCAACCTTTTCGCTTACCACTAATTCATTCCTGATAAGTCATTCGGATATGCAAATGACTAGGTGAAGCAAGAAATAAAGTTCATATTAAAAGTAATAACAATCATGTAGGCACCAATAATGAAAATTCTATGGGAGAAGATAAAAGGGTTCAAGACAAATCAGAATTAGGGATTATATATGTGCGATTCTAAAAAGAAGGTAAAAGGATTGCAGTGGTGAACCTATCAGAATTTGTGGAATTCCAGACATTTTGAACCATTTGTTTTCACTATGGAGACAATTTTAAAAGACAATCATGATGGAAATGGATCATGGTAACCGTCTAAGGGCTGAAGTATCGAAATATTCATTGGTTTTTACTCTCCTCTAAATGAACAAAGAGGATAATGCATTTAAAAAGAGCAAGCTTTGTAAGGCTATGATAACTAGCTCTACAACTGCATGTAAACTGAGGTAACCCAAAGGGGCTTCTTGTTCTCGACTCATCCACACAATAGTTACCCACCAGAGACAATAATTCGAAACTCAACAGAGAAGAATACATTTCTCATTAATTTACATATTCACTTCTTTAGAATTTCTGCTGGTGTGTTACCTCTGAGGTCTACATGCATAGACCGAGTTTCCTCTTGTACTATAGGAAGTAATTCAGTATGTTGTTACAGCTTCGGGTTTTTCTTGACAGATCTATCGGAATAAATGATTTGAGTGAGTTTTTTATGGAGTCTTCTTAGTTTATCATCAATCACATCTTTAGTGCAGATCTGTTTGATTCTAGAAGTCAGTGATGAATAAGTTATGTTGATCTTCATGTTCAGCAGCATCCAACTCTGAAATGTGTAAACTATTCCTCCTATCATTCCTTCCTGTAAATCCATCCTTGGGGGAATTGTAACAGAAACTGCTAATCTTAAAGACTCGACTAGTTTATAGATGAGATTTTTAACAGTAAATGAGTGGAATTTGTAAATAGGCAACTAATTATCTTTTTTGACTATCTGAGATAGCCGTGGTTTGGCAGATTAGTATTGTTACGGGTTGATGACTGAAGGTGAAATGAAAATTTGGACCACGATCGGATTCAAACCAGCTACCACCGGTTTTCTGGCCCGATGCTCTACCTCGAGGCTCAGTTGATGGACCATCAGGCAGGAAACCCGTTGGTCGCTAGTTCGAATCCAGGCACGGTCCAGATGACCATTTTACCCTCAATCATCACCTAGTAATAACTAATTATCTGCTATTTTAGTAGCTGGGTTAAAACGAAGGGTGACCAAAACAAGACGTATCATCAGTCCATTGGTCTAAGCTGTGTAAGGTTTGGACGTCATTATAGGGGTCAATAAGAATCCATGACTGAAGGCTGTTGATGAAATGGCTAAAAATCAGTCATAGTGATGCAAATACACTGATTCTTTCACATTTTCAATACTCTTCATATTTTCAAAAATCTTTAATTCTTAATTCTTTCCATTTCCATACATTTTTTCCGACTTCATTATTACTCTTTTTCCATCCACTTGTTCTTTGTATACAGCTTTGCAGTATGGCAATTTGAAGCGATGAATTTCTGTTAGGCATTCTCTCTTGATTTGTTTACCTCTCTCTCTCTCTCTCTCTCTAACTGCACAACACTGGATACAATGAATGGTAATGTCAAGGTACTCTATTTCAGTTTAAGATTACCCACCATAATTGATAAGTTTATCTAAATCTTGAGGATTACAGAATGACTTTACTTGTTTTTTCGACGATTGATTGTTTTTACATCAAGAATACACTTTAGTTTGATGTAATAAATGAATTTCGCTGTATACAGTTGAAAACATTTGGTCTAAAGGGTTGACATCAATTTCAAGATGGTAAGAAGTATTCTTAATTTTATTACTTGTTGAAATTCTGTACATTTATGTCGTTTACTATTATTTCTCCCTTGGGTTTCTAATGGAACATAGGGCTTCAGTAACACGTCTCCAGAGCACTCTGTTCTACGCAAACTTTTGAACCTGGCCCCACGACTGTCCACAAGCTCCCATTTCTTCCTCACATGATCTCCTTCTCGTCACCCTCGGCACAGATGACCAACTCGTTGCTTCCCATCTGGGTTACACTCGCGGGCCTGGCGAGTGATGTCCCCAGTCGGCCTTCTCAGTGCATGCCCAATCCATCTACGCTTTCTTCTACTGCATATTTTTTCGGCGATACGTTCTTGGTTGGTTCGTTACCAGGCAGTCATAGTGGGTTCCTTGTTGCTTATTCTTATTATTCTGGCCATCTGATCTTCAGCATCAGTATCGAGTGAGCCAGTGTAGGCAGCTGTTGATGAATGGTGGTGGTGGTGCTTGTTGTTGTTGGTGGTGGTGGTGGTTGGGTATCTTCACCACCTCTGTCTTCTCTATACTCACTTCACTTGAAGTCCCGTCTCCGCTGTCCTGCCTCTTATGTCAACTTGTTAGTTTTCGCCTGTACATCTTCAAGTTTGTGTGGCATAAGACACAAGTCATCGTTGGCGAAATACAAATCTTCTAGGTTCTTTCCCATGGTCCAGCGTATCCCCCTCTTCTCACTCCTCACTGCTTTTTGCATGATCCAGTCCACTACAAACACGAAGATCATGGGTGATAGTAGACAGTCTTGTTTTACTCCTGTCCTCACTTCGAAGGCATCACTGAGCTTCCCATTGTGAATTACTCAGCATGTGGCGTCTTCATATAGTTGTTGAATGAGATTGATAAAGGTTTGTGGTATTCCGTAGTGTTGAAGCAGCTGCCAAATTACTTCTTGGTTGACGCTGTCGAAGGCCTTCTCAAAGTCGATGAAGTTGAGGTAGAGAGTTGACTTATATCGTTTACACAACTATCAACGTTCTACTAATATACTTAGGTTCATATTCAATGGTTTCAATTATTTGTTCACTAGATTATTCTAAATCATGATTAATTATACGTCACAGGAAATTTATGAAATTTATGTAATTCTCAACAAATTAATTATATTTCAATATATACATTGTTATACAAATGACCTCCATAGTATATTCATATTGCTTACATAAGAGACAGATAGTGTATGCGTTAAAATGCCCACCTTATTTTGTAGGCTTATAAACTCTGCCTAACGATTCATTGATATTGAAGAAGGCTGATATTCAAACATTAGACCCTAGTGTGAATTACTGCCCTTCAATTATTTCTGATATTGGCTATTTTTAGGATAACTGTTCTTAATGCTTATTCTGCATAGAACCAGTTAAGCAAATAACAATGTTTTATTCTGCCCAAATCATGCCACAGATTATCGTAACATTCCATGTTGACTAAATTAGGATTAGGTTATGAGAATGCTAAGGGTGTCCATATTAAGTCATGGTACCGATGGGGGAAATCACTTACTGTTGTTTTCATCCATGTAGGGAGATGAAAACTATGTGGATAGGATTTTCAAGATTATAGGCATGAAAAATTTCAGAATCTAGATTATTTGGCTTAAAACTGATGTAAATGAAGGAGTTAAGCACACTGATTATCACCTTCATAATTCTAAACACTTTCACTCGTAGAGAAGTTAAAAAGCCAGTCGCAGTGAAGATAATTACCTTTTTAAGAAATTCAATCCAAAGCTGTCTATTCGAGTTGGAAAGTTTCAGAAGAACTTTTAGTCAAGAGTCAAAGTGACTAGAACAGTAAAGATAGGTCTAGAAAGTAAGTGATAATTGTATAACATGGGAAACAAGAAAAATTGAAATCGAATCTCACACACAAATGCATTGGTTCACGTTGCCACAGTCCACACGAGTATACAAAGAACAAGTCGATGGAAAAAGACTGATATGAAAGTAGACAAAAGTGTATGACGGGAGACAAAACTTAAAGATAAGGTTACTCAAAACATTCAAGCTTTACAAGACATCAAGGAGTGAATACATTTACCTCATTGCGACTGATTTTCGACCGTTTCAGCAATAGTTCTCAAAACCTGATTTCTATCTTCTCGGGGACACCCACAAGTAGTCTTCACTTCCCTACACCTCTCAGACCAATAGTCAGGGACTTCATCGAACGGTGAGATGTCTTCATTTGGTCACCCTGAAC